TTTGCATCTTCTCCTATAAAGAGCTTCATACGGAGCCATCTGGATGCTAGAGTGGTAACTATTGTTGTAAGCAAATTCAATGAGAGGTAGGTGCTCATCCCAATTACCTTTGAAATCAATCACACAGGCCCTCAACATATCTTTTAAGGTTTGAATGGTGCAATCTGCTTGACCATCTGTCTGAGGATGAAAAAAAGTACTCAAGTTCACCTTTGAACCTAAGCCTTTTTGAAAAGATTTCCAGAACTGTGTAGTAAATTGGCTCCTCTTTCTGAAATAATCGATACAGGAACCCCATGAAGTCTGATCGCCTCTTGAATATACAACCTAGCATAATCTTCTACTGAATGGGTAGTATTTACTGGCAAAAAGTGGGCTGATTTCGTCATTCTATAAACAATCACCCAAATAGAATCATGATGCCTGCAAGACCTTGACAAACCTGTGATGAAATCCATATTGAACATCTCCCACTTCCATTCTGGAAGTTCTATATTCTGAGCCATACCACCGGGCCTTTGGTGCTCTACTCTAACTTGTTGGCAATTTGGACAGTTAGCAACAAACTCTGCAATGCCCTTCTTCATACTAATCCACCAATAAACTTCTCTCACATCGTGGTACATCTTTGTGGAACCCAGATGGATAGAATATCTGGATCTATGAGCTTTCTCCATGATCCTCTCTTGGAGTTCATCCACCCTTGGTACACACAACCTACCTTGATACCTTATTACGTCATCTATCCCTTGTTCAAAAGCCATTACTTTTTGCTTATGAACATTTGCCTTCAATTCAAGCAAAATAGGACCTTGGTCTTGCTTCTTTTTCACTTCTGACACTAATAATGATTCAGCCCTATCCATCACCACTACTGCTCCTTCTGTGGAATCCATTAATCGAACTCCTAATCGTGCAAGTTTGTGCACATCTTTTGCTAACTCTTTCTTAATGGGCGGTACTTCCCATAGACAATCTACTCAAGGCATCTGCAACAACATTAGCCTTACCTGGGTGATAAAGAATACTCATGTCATAATCCTTGAGTAACTCTAACCACCTTCGTTGTCTCAAATTAAGCTCTTTCTGACTAAACACATACTGAAGACTCTTGTGGTCGGTGAACATATCCACATGAACACCATAAAGATAATGACACCATATTTTCAAAGAAAATACTACGGTAGCCAACTCTAAATCATGGGTTGGATAATTCTTCTAATGAACTTTCAACTGCCTGGAGGCATAAGCTATCATTTTGCCATTCTACATTAACACACAACCCAAACCAACTCTAGACGCATCACAATATACGACAAAACCTTGAGTACCTTCTGGTAAGGTCAACACTGGGGCAGTAGTCAACCTCTTTTTCAATTCTCGAAAGTTTTTCTCACAAGTTTCATACCATTGAAACTTTACTATTTTCTAAGTCAACTTGGTAAAAGGGGACGAAATAGATGAGAATCTCTCTACGAACCTTCTATAATATCCATCCAACCCTAAGAAACTCCTAATATTAGTTGGGATGTGGGTCTAGGCCAATTCTGCACTGCCTTTATCTTCTGGGTATCAACTCTAATCCCATCACCGAAAATAATGTGGCCTAAGAATGCCACAGACTCAACCCAAAACACACATTTAGAGAACTTGACATACAACTCTCTATCCTTTAGAGTTTGGAGAACTATTCTGAGACGGCTAGCATGATCTTTCACATTTCTTGAATAGATTAGATTTTCATCAATGACACAATGACAAACATATCTAAAAAAAGCTTGAATACTCTATTCATTGTAACACCACGACTTTTCAAAACGTCTAAATTAATTTGTATCTTCATGAAAAGACAAAGAGGGTGAGTAATAAATTAAAAATGATGTGGTATGTCATATTTTAAGTGTTCAAGGGTTGTATCTCAAGTTTTGAAGTTAAGTAAGTGGCAAAATAAAAGTTGGTGAAAGTTATCGTAAGTTCCTTTTTTAAGATTTCTCTGAAATTTGGGTCAAATGTCTCGGAGGTTTTCTCCTAATCAAAAGTCTACGAGTCTAGTTTCCTACGCATTAAACCGTTTGTTCATACGACTTCAGAATAGAGAGATATTTGCATTTTTATGGGGCTGCGCAAGCATGCACGTGAGGTGGGGCCCTAGGTCGGTGGAACTTTACATATATCTTCTTCTTCGAACCTTTTCTTCATTTTTAGCTAAGAACCAGAAAAAAAAATAGAGAAACCCATTTCTAGGATCAACTAAAGTATAGATTTTCTCGACTTAAGTCCTTACTGAAAGTTGTTCTACGCGTTGGGCTCATCACCATGGTATAATTTGTTTTATTGATTTCGTAGTGTTGGGACAACAAGGGTTTGGATATATTTGAAGTTTTTGAGGCGTATTACGACCTTAAGATCGAGGTAAGATCCTTTTTTCATCGACTCTAGCTTTTATAAGCAATAAATAACAATTTGCGATGGAAATACATATCTTTTATCGTATTGTCATGGTATATTTTATTTTTGTGTGTTGATTATGGTCCTACCTTGTTGTAGTATCGAGGGAGTTATGAGTAAAAGTCGTTCGGCCACGTGAATTCAATGAAAAAGGTATGTTAAGGCTATTCCTTACTTACGGCATGTTTCCTTAAAGCTTAAGAGCAATGTAATTGGGTTGTTATCCTTGTTACACTTGTAGCCATTATTGTTGATTGTTGGCTGCTCGAGTTGATAAAATCCTCCCTTGTCGGGATTCTTATTCAGTTAGTAGTGTCCCTATATTGGACACGACTTAGAGGCTATTTGTATAGGTTGCTTATAACTAAATTGCTCGTTTTTAGCGATTGGATTGTTATTGTTGCCCTTAGGGGCTATTGTGGTTAGCTGTAGGAATGTGATCTATGCCTAGAAGGGCTATGTTCTGCCTACAGGGCTATATGGATGCCTAAAAGGGCTATGAGTTGCCTACGGGGCTATATTGTGCCTAGAAGGGCTATGAGTTGCCTACAGGGCTATATTGACGGCTAAGAAGGCTATGTGCTTCCTACATGGCCATGTTGTTGACTAAGAGGGCTATGAGTTGTCTATAAGCTATGTTGATACTTAAGAGAGCTATGTTGATGCCTAAGATAACTATGTGCTACCTACGAAGCTATAGTAATGCCTAAGAGGGCTATGTGACTGCCTATGGGAATATGGGACTACTGATAGGGGTATATAAGCTAATTGGCATCTTCCGGGCTTATGGGGACCTGAATAGGTGGTCTTGTGTGCTGTTTGTACTTGCCGAGCTTATGGGGCCTTGGTTAGGTTGTTGTTTTATTATTTTTGATAAGTTTAGATTAGGAGCAAGTCAGTACACTTATCTTATCCTTGATTTATTTATCAGATTATTCCAGTATATCAAGATACCTCCTCAGAGTCTATTGTCTTTCATACTCTGTACATTATTTTGAACTGACACCCCAATGCCTTCGGGGCACTACATTCTTACATGCAGGTTCTGACAGACGATTGAGTAGACCTCTTCAGCAGCAAGATTGACTTTTATCCGGTTGGCTAGCTCCTTTCCTCCGGTGTTGCCAGAGTTAGGATGTTTGTTACCTTTTGTTATATATATCTTTATGGGTAGGCTGGGGTCCTGTCCCTCTAATCTTTACTACTCTTAGAGACTCGGAGACTACTGTGTGGTGTGTATAGTTACGTTATGGCCATACTGGCCTATGTTGTTGGTTTGCTGAAGCTTGTGAGCTATTTGATGTACTGTATTGATATATACCTGTTTTTAGTTTTGGTATAGATATCATGGTGGCCTCGACGACCCAATCAGGACTTCTGTTCTAGTTGGTTATTTATTTATATGATCTCCTGGGAGTAGCTGTTTCTTTTATAGATCAGTTGACAGGGGCCTTGCCGGCCGATGGCTTAGTTTTAAGTCGAGATATACTTGTTTGTTTTCTTGATTGCCTGTGGCTGCCATGCACTAGTATCAAATGGTTCAGCAGGGTCGGCTTGAGCACGAGTTGTGGCATTAGGAGCCAGTTGCTTCCCTCGAGTTTGGGGCGTGACACTCGAGTTTGGGGCGTGACATTCATAAGGTCCAAGAATGCTACAGGTGCAGTGGTCAAACCAAAGGACATAACTAGAAACTCATAATGACCATAATGGGTCTTGAATGTTGTCTTTAGAATGTCACATTCCCTTACCCTCAACTGATGGTATCCTGATCTGAGGTCTATCAATTCTCGGAAGAAGATACTTATTCTTGATGGTAACCTTGTGCAACTGGAGGTAGTCTATACACATTCTAAGGGAACCATCTTACTTTCTCACAAATAAGACTAGAGCGCCCTATGGTGAGACACTTGGTCGAATTAAACCCTTATCAAGGAGATCTTTCAACTGCTCTTTTAGCTCTTTGAACTTTACTAGTGCCATTCTATATAGCATAATAGATATATGACGAGTATCTGGAAGAAAGTTTATATCGATGTCTATCTCTCTCTCAGGAGGGACTCCGGGTAGATCATCAGGAAAGACTTCTGGAAACTCACTCACAACTGGAACTGACTCAGTAGAAGGCGTCTCAACACTAGAGTCATTAACTCGGACTAAGTGATTGACACAACCCTTGGAAACTAACTTTCTTGCCTTAAGGTAAGAAATGAAATAACCCTTAGGCATAACTGAACTACTACTCTACTCTATAACTGGCTCATTAGGAAACTGGAACTTGACAACTCGAGTACTACAATTGATGGAGGCATAACAAACATGAAGCCAGTCCATACCAAGAATGACATCAAAATCAACCATGTCTAACTCAACTGAATTACCCATGGTGTTCTTGTGATTAACGGAAATGGTACAATCACGATGGACTCGCTCAGCTAGAATAGACTCCCCAACAGGTGTAGAAACACAAAAGGGTCCACAAAGTTTCTCAGGAAGAAAATCAAATTTCATTGCAACATAAAGAGTCACAAAAGATAAACTTGCTCCTGGGTCTATCAAAGCATAAACATTAAGAGTGAAGACTTACCAGTGACAACATCTGGAGAATTTTCTTGCTCTTGACGACTAGTAATCGCATAAAGGAGGTTTGCTCCTCTGCCAGTACCGAAAGTAGATCCTCTAGGTGCAACCATGTTTGGTGGAGCAACTGATGAAGATTGGGCTATATTGCCCTGATTCCCATTACTTTGCTGGTTCTTAGGGCACTCTTTCATGAGGTGACCCTCCTGTCCAAACTTGAAACAACCTGTAGAGCCATCGTGACAGTTTCTTGGGTGGTTCCTACCACACTTAGCACATGCAAGAGCCCAGTTACCTCCTTGTGCCACACTACCCTGAGACTGCGCAGGTCTAGCTCTGAAGTTCTGCGAATTCTGACCATTATACTCACTTTTTTTTTCTGGGTGCAGGTGCACTAGCAGATGATGGATGCAGGTCCCTTTTGCTTTTGCCAAAAGGACGAACGGTTCACATTACTCCTTTGCTGCCCGGACTCACTCCAGGTCTTAGCTTTCTTGTTTCTAAATTCCTCTCTATCCCTCAGTTTCTCTTCCTCAACCTGCTGCACATAAACCATCAGCCTTGTTATATCTATGTCACCTATTAGCATCGCAACTTACCTTCTTTACTTCACAGACGAGACAGCCGAGCAACAAACAAACTCATCATACTCCTCATATCCCCAACCATCTCCGAAGGATATCAGGAAAGTTGGGTAAACTTCAAACCATACTCATGAACACTTAGTGAATCCTACTTAAGGTTAAGGACTTCTCGTACCTTGACTTCTCTCAGTTCACGGGGAAAGAAATGCCCCAAGAATGCACTCTCGAACACAACCCAACTCAAAACCGGTGCATCGTCAGCCCTACTCTTCTTCCACTGGTCAAATCAAGTCCTAACAACATTCTTAAGTTGATATGCAGCTAGTTCCACTCGCTTAGCATCGGCAACGTGCATAACTTCAAATACCTTTTGTAGTTCCTCAACAAAATTTTCCGGATCCTCAGTAGTGCTTGAACCAGAGAAGTTTGGAGGATTCATCCTTAAGAACTCGCAGATCCTCGAAGTATTAGCCTCTTCCTGTCAATCCCCTATTTGTTGCCCAACTTGGTTGGTCACAACTTGACTTAGCATTCAAATTGCTTCCCAAAATTCAGCATTAGTGACCTCTCCTTGGGGTTGCACTTCTGATGCATTAGGTACCCCTTGCTCCTTAACGTTCCTTCTAGCAGGATGACCGTGGAGGCATGATCAACTGAAAGACACACGTAAGCATGAGTTAGAAAGAGACTTTTTATAGAGATACACTCTATCGCACAAAATGAGTATGAAAGAAGTGAAAGAATTTCCCAAATGTTGCAACCTCCTAATTATAGATGTGGCACGTTTCACACCGATAACTAGCACTCTACAGACACAACTTCATAGACTCCCTAGGACTCTCGAACTATATGCTCTGATACCAAGTTTGTCACACCCCGAGCCTACACCCTGGATAGGACTGGAACTCGAGAACCATTGCTAGCCCCAAACGAACCCTTGACCTGGCTTAACTCAAAGAAGAAGACTTAAAGCATTAATACAAGGATTCAAATGCACTTTAAAACAACTGTCTCAAATAAACTTAGAACGTTTAATAATAAACATTCAAATTAGCCAAAGTGGCAACTCAAGTCTTTTAGCAAAACATCTGAAATGTAAGACTAAAGACTTATATCTAACTGTCTATGAAGCCTCTAAATACTAAGAGGGATGTCGGGACAAGACCCCCGATCATCCTAACAACTAAAATACTAGAAAACAATGTAAAAAGAGTCCCTCGGAAAGCAAGGAGGCTCACCAAATGACTCTGAATGCTCGAATGGATTAATGAGGGGCTGGATGCTGATCCTGATTACCTGTATCTGGATCATAAAAAGATGTAGGCCAAATGGAATCAGTACATTGAATATACGAGCATGCGAGGGGAAAACTAAGCATGACATAAGCTTGAAAGGAATCTGAAAAGAACACTTACCTTGACTTTACTCAACTTAAGAATAGCCAACTCAAATGCAAAGTAAAAACAACAATAATGGTGCAGTTATACAAAGCATTTAAAAATAGTAGATGATAACTCAATGTATTAAAGAAATACAATAACAACTCAATTTACTTATAAAGTAATATAATATTGTGGGAGTTTCTCTAACCGACAACCACCACTATAAGCTAAAGTGATGATACATCGTCTTGTCCACGCTGCCAGAACTGTCATATACCTTGCCGTGATATAGAACACCTCAACTAAGTGTATCCACTAGTCTATGCTAAAAAGCACTAAGGAATCATCTAAAAGTATGACCCTTTCTACCCATGATGGCTACATGGTTTATGGAGACTTGAGTTATTATGAACTCATCCCATATCGGTGCTCAATACTACTCCCAAAATATACTCAGCTCATATGTTTTAAAAATAAAACTCTTTCTGTGATTTGAGGTAATTACTCAAAACTAGCTTAAAAGCTCTCTTGAAAATCGGTGTTTCCTTTCTTGTTTAAATGTGAAAGCATTTCAACTCTTGGTAATACTTAGTTCCTGTATAATCTTTTGAAGAAATAAACTTTACTCTTACTCTTTACTCTACTCAAAACTCAAGCCTTAAAACAAAGTTAAAACGTTTGTAAAAGACTTTTGGAAAACTTTATAAACTTCTTTTGACTTGATTCTTAACTTTCCTTGAATTGAATTATGGATTCAAGGTTTATGATCTCATGTTTATGAATGATTTCATGATGGTTAGACGTACCTTAGAGTGTAGAAGTCGACTAGAAAACATAGGTGCGTTGCTAGGGAACTAGTACGGAAAGAAGTGGGAAAATGTGTAAAAACTGGAGTCCCTGGCGCCAGAGCCCAAACTTTAGAGTCTGGATTGGGGCGCTCTGAGTGGTGTGGTGCCCCAGAGCCCAAACTTTAGACTCTTAAGTGGGGAGCTCTGAGAGGCGCGACACCCCAAGCCCCTGCCTAGAAATTCCCCAATTTTTCTTCTTCATTTTTCAATCTAAACCCCCTAAAATCATTTGGTTCTTTCCCCAAACACTTAGAATCGATTATATCATCAATATATGTACGATTCTACTCTAAAAGACACAGAATATCATGAATCAAACTCAAGAAACTTCAACAACAAGAACCCAAATGAACTTAAACAAATTTCATCAAGAACTCATAACCTTTTCCTTCAATAGAACACAATTACGCTGAATTGAATCATGATTGGCGCGTGGGTGAACTTACCTAATGCTATGTGATCTCACATACCTCATAGGATTGAATCCTTGGCGAATCCATAACCAAAATTGCACGATCTTGATGAATCTTGAACTTTTCTTCTCCTTTCTCCTCTTTTCTCTTTTCTCCAAGCCTTAGCGTAAATTTCCAATTGTCTAATAGACCCCAATTTAAATGTTAAAAACGAATTATAATAATTGGGTAAGGAAAAGACCAAACTACCCTTCCAAAATCCGGATTAGACTTTCCTTATCTAAATAGCCCAACTTCAAATAGGCATATCTCCCTCATATGAACTCGAAATCTCACAAACTCGGCGGCATTGGAAAGATAATTCAAAGATATTTCCTACGGTATCTTATAGGACACCTAAATTATCATGAGCTAGGAGTTATATTTGTTTGAAGTTGACCAAAACTCAAACTTAACTTAACTTAACCAATTTTCCAGATTTTTCATTCTCTCCAAAAATGACTATTTCTAATTCTAGCTCTTTCTAGTTCTTTCAAATAGTGAGGTGTTACAATGAATATAGATCAGCTGATGAATGCTTGAGTAGTCAAAGACACATTAAAAGTAGCCATAACCAATATGAAATCAGGTAGACTAATCTTTTTTTATATAAAAAAAATTAGTCTATTTAGTAGCATGAATAATTAATTACTTTCATTTTATGTATTTCATGAAATTAATTTAAAAACATTCTACAGAGAAGATGAAGCTAGTTTTGATTTGTGTAATGATGCACATGCCTCAAAGAAGCAATGAAATTTCGGAAGAAGATGAACCTTCAGAAGACGATGGAGAGAGTAAAGCCATTGAAAGTGAATTCGATAAGATACTGGAGATTTACCTCAAAACGATACTGGATAAATCTTCAAAATCATTTGATAAGGATGTATCTAAAATGCAAAATAATTATATACCTTAATTTACAACATTGGAGAATGAGAAAGATATTTTTATCTCTATACGTGAATCTGAGATAAAATGTTGTTATTTTTTGTCCAAGGATGCCAAAAAAAAATTAGAAAAAAATATGTGGTTCAACAAAAAATATATATGGAACATCACAAAATAAGGTAGAAGAAAAAAATTAGAATCATGACTATACGACACAAAAGGCATGAAGATAAGCTAATGAGGTGGCACATACCATAGTTTCATATGTTGTTGAATTAGGCACATAACCTTGTTGACTTTAAGGACGCAAATTATGATTACCAATAACAAGACGAGTAATGCGCCTGAACCAAATAAGGTAGGGGTCATCATAACGAAATGATTCATGATTGACTGATGCATCACAACTATATTGGAAGCGTTGGTTTCAAAATGATAACCATTGTGCATGTTTCAACTCTCAATTTGTATTTGGTCTTTCCCAATGATCATGCTGAAAGTGTTTGAAATCAAATGACAACAGAGTTGGAATAACTTGTTGCAGTTCAAATTGCCTCACAACATGATCTGAAAAATGAACCTCGATCACATTCCAATAAAAGATTGAAACTCTAACATGCCATATGTTTCATCAAACCTGATAATAGAGAGGAAGACTATCAATTAAGTCATCGGAATATGGTACCCAAATAAACTACATGAAAAAAGAAAAGAGCAAAATGAGTCTTTACATTTACAATCTTTATAAATAAATAAAAATTATATTGTACCTAATCTCCTATCATAAAGTCAAGTGCATTCCTATAAACTTTCAACACATGTTTGATAGTTTCGTCCAACTAAGAACCATCTAGTAGCATGTGGACTCCTAGGCAAACCAACAGGAAAAATAGTTCTCACATCTCTCTGGGCTACTATATGAGGATTGAGGATAGTGACTCTCTCCCACGCTCAAATCTGGGAGAAAAAGTTCTGAAATTACATCTTTTAAATTTTTCTTCCTTATATAACACTATAGAGACAAATCAAAGGAAGAATATATATATAGTGAGAGAAAATATGATATGAGACACACGTGTCCAAAATTAGTAAACTATAAAAATATAAATAAATAATGTACAATTGTTAGATATACCTGAAGTATGGTAGAAATTTGGCTATCTCATTTTGGGTACTCTGTGAGGCTTTACAAAGAAAATGATATAAGAAATATTAAGGTCGCACTACCCCAACAATTAGACCTAATTCTATCGACGTCCTAGAGCATAGGAAAGTACATAAGCTTCAAATAACCACTAGATGTATCCGTCATCATCACACCCACAATCATCCAAAAAATGTAACATCTGACCTTCTTATTGACCATATCTTATGTTGACATGTTCGACAATTGTGGCTTGCTTAACATGTGTGCAATAAACACAGTGACATT